ACTTCTGTGGTCTGTGGGGGTGGCTTCGACTCCATTTAAACACTAGCAACGTGTTGACGGCATGGTTGAAGGTGGCCAGAACAGGCATAAAGCTTGGGCACGAGTTTTGAAAACACTTGAGACATTTGGCCTTTCTTACCTCAGGTGCTTGATGTTTCTTAATGACGGCAGTCTTGCCTAGAAGTAAAGGTGCAGCTTTCAAGGCCAGGTGGTGTTGGTCTGAGCTGGGCAGGAGCTTTGTGACCTGGAGGAAGGGGTTTATAACCCTCCTCGGGTTCAGGCTCGCCCTGCAGACGCCTGGGTGCCTCTGTGCAGCCTGGGTAGGGGGTGGTCGGGGGTCAGTCCCATAGCCGCTCCCCTCCGGACACCACAGCTGCTGAGAGGGGGTGGACGGGGGTGGCAGGGAGCAATCCCGAGCACGTCCTACATGGACCCAGTCCTGCAGACATGCTGTAAAGAACTGCCCACCAAAGGTTCTTCCCCACGCATTCGCATGCGAGCTGCTAGAGGGTGGCACAGTGGAAACTTTATTTCGAGCGAGTGACTGACGTGTCCATAAAAAGCAAAGGCATTGATTTAATTGTTTTGAGTACATCTGCTTGCCAACATTTCTACTTCCCCTTTTGCTTATTAAACAGAGACTCACTGGAAGAGCTCTCACGGTGCAGTTCCCAGCTCAGTTGTATGGTTTTACTTTTTCTTTCCTCTTAAAAGGTCATCAATGCTATACTATTGTTTAATGGAGGATTTTTCCATTGTCTGAATAAAGTCGCTAAGGCTTACAACTTAAAGTTTAGGTTTTGACATGATGATACGTGTTAGTAGTTTGATGCATCATTCTTTTCATGAACTTGATACGTGTGTTGGGTTTACCTCTCCATGAAAATAAGTGGTAAAATTTGTCTTGATTTGTGGGAGGGAGCAAGAATGGGTTGCTTTAACTATTCTTGTGTTTTATTTGGTTTTTTTAACTTGATACTCCTAAATTTCATACTGCACGTGTGCATAGGCTAATGAGCGGTGGTAGGAAGGAGAACAGTTGATTCTCACCGATTCGTTAGTGTCCCTGATGGACAGCTGCCACCGGGGCTGCTGCTGGGCAGCTGCTCTGGCTGTGGTTACGAACAACCCAAGTACGCTCCTTTTCAACATTTGTCTTTTTATAAAGCCTCAACTTCTTCAACGGATCTTGTGCACTGGTGCAAGGTTCAGGGCATTAGATTGTGAATGGAGGCTGGACAGGAGAGCCCCCCTCCCTCAGGGTCTGGCTTGAAATACTTCCGTGCAAGCCGAATATTTCCAGATTGTTTCACAGGCGCTGATGTTTTATGTTGCTGTGAATGTGGAGGGGTGGCTGTCCCAGATGGCTGTCGCAGAGCAGGTCAGCTGGAAAGCCCCTCTAAAGAGGGGAGAGAGCAGGGAGAAGAGTGAAGGAATGGCTGCAGTGTTTCAGGCACGCCATGCACAAGCAGCCACTCATGTTCCCTTCTCTTCTGGATGTACACGGCCTCTACTAGAAATTAAAGTCAGTTTAACCACTCAGGGATTAAAAACTATTATAATGTGAACTAAAAAAAGACACAGTTTTGCTAATGAGTGTGTTACACATTCATGATTTTGAGCGTGCTGTTTGGCATACTTGTGCCTCTCATTTTCTTTGCTTCAGTCTCTGAGTTGTTAGTTAGGAAGGAGTTTCTTCTGGGCCAAACTTTGTAACCGAAGTTAACAATCCCATCCAGTATGAAGTGAGAATTAGCATTTTCTGAAAATCTTCTCCGTATTTTCTGTATTCCTTGTGATAGTATCCTTGTGCAGTGGCAACTGAGTGTGATCCCTGCTTGTAAGGATGTGGGAACTGAGTCAGTGGGTTAATATTAACTTGTCCAAGGTGAAGTAGGAAGTGTGCCACAGAGCAAGGTCTCCCCAGTCTGCTACCTGTCTCTGAGTCATTTGCTTTTAAAGAACTGATACCGCAGTGTGTGCACACCTCCTGTTCATGCTGGGTTTATCCAGCTTTAACAAACTTTTAGATTTGTTCTACCAAGGTAATTTTAGGTGGGGTTTTTGTTGTTGTTTGGTGGGTTTATTTGTGGTTTTTTCTGCTGGGTTGGCAACATTGGAGGCTAAAGTCCTTTATCTGTTTGCATAGTGACTACAATATAAATTTTATTAAACTGCCCCATCTTTTCCTTCTCTTCTCAATGTAGAGGTGGGCTGCAGAGAAGCAAACTTATTTCATGCTTTCAGCTCTAAAAGAACTGCCATTAGAAGCCAACTGCGGTGATAGTTTCTTGTGACAGGAAAAGCATTTAAAAAAAGCTGGATTGAGACAATATGCTGAATTTCATGGAAACCAATGGGTTTGTCTCAAGTGGGGAAGAGTTTTTGGTTATTGTTGACCTAGTGCAGACTCAGAGATGCAGATACAAGTAGCCAACTGGTGTTTCCTTTGGGGTATCCCCTCATGATAGCCATTTTTGATGTTTGACCTCTTTATCATCATGACCTGAGGGAAGGTGGAAGCCAAGGGGGGTGAGGATGAAAGGCAGACTGCATCTTATGCATTGTTTGTTACTGGGTTTGAATAGCTGCCTCCATACTGGAGATCAGGGCTTGAGGACAGTGATCAAGCGCTTGTTCTCAGGCAAAAGATGTGCTTCAGTGTGGGTTGAGGATCCGGTAACAAAGAGCAACACTGGACTTGGCACACATTGCAGCCCACGTTGAAACAGGGAAGGGTTCCCTGAGCCGTCCAAAGTACCCAGGATCATGCTGATACACAGGGGCTTGACCATGAAAAGGGAACAAAGTCTTGCTTCCCAGGGCTTGCAAGCCTCTGTGAGATGCCATAAAGACCTCGGGGAGAATCTGTCTCACTTCCAGTAGCACAGTCTCCCTCACATGCTAGCTTGAAACTGTCATCTTCCCCTGTGCAAATGCACGGTAGCTCCCTTTCCCACTTACAGGGGCACTTCCTACATCCTAAAAAAGATCACCACCACAGTAAAAAAGGAGTTACCACCTTCTGGGTTTGCTTTCGGATGGCAGTGCTGCTGGAGTTAGAAATGGAGTCATTCTGCACTCACCTCCAGAGTGTGTCCAGCAAGTGTGCATTTAAAGTGGTTTTAATGATATATGTATGGGTGATGGCAAATTCCTAATGGGGGTATTATTGTGTATGTGATTTTTTTAAAAAAACCAACACTAAATAGTTATCTTGTTATCAGAGTTTGATGCCAGGGTCCTTTTTTGTGTAAGGTGCTTGATGGAAATCCATGCAAAAGCAGAGGTGCCTTCCTTACCATTGCTGCCATGGCACCATGGTCTTCTGTCCTTTTGGCAGAGGTCAGCCAGTCAAAATGTCTCTTGGACCAACAGCTGCTGGAGAGACCTGCTGCTAATGCCAGTTTTGGTGTCAAACCCGTGTTGTAATTGTAAAATCTCTGGGTTTGGAGAATACTGATAAAATGCTGGTAATAGTGTGTTCAGACAATGATGGAGGCACTTTGTTTACAGTCTGTTCCATGCGGTGCTGAGCCTCAGCCGTTTGGTGAAACTTGGAGTGAAGTTCCCGTGGAGCATCTGCTTTTTACATGCTGCACTCCAGAGGCCAGATCCTGCTGCAGCTTTGGGGTCAGTCTGAGCCCCCTGCTGCTGGCATTTTTCTTTTGCCTGAGGAAAAAATCCTTTTCATTGTTAACCCGAGGGGGTTTCCCTAAGCTTGCTTTGTGAAGGAGGGCTTGCTTCTTGAGCCTGAATATTGTGCGAAGGGCATGCCCTGCTGAGCACATTGATGTGGTGCTTAGCATTTTCACTTTAACTTCTGCAAAACTGCAGTTCGTTCCTAGGAAGGGTGGCTGTGGACCTTTGTACAGATATATTTTTTTTAAGGCGTGAGGGTATAACGCACATCTCAAAAAGCTGGGCTATTTCATCTCGGTGCACAGGTTTCATTTGATGAATAACAGGTTCTCTATTAGCCAGAAATAACTCGATTTTGTTTTCCATGTATCTGGTCTGAGATGACGCTAATAGGAATAAATTAGGAGTGTTACTGAATGAAATTCAATATGTAAAATTAGTGGGCTGATGTCCCAGGCAAGGGCAATGACTACGGGGGGAGCAGTGGATCTGGACGGGTAGGCGATGCAGAGCGGAGGCTGCACGTTGCAGCCGACTAAAACGCAGCTCTCGGGTCCTTAATAAAGTGGGAGCGAGAGGGTAAA